AACGGGGACGAATGAAACCGAGAGACAACAATGTGGACGCACGGGAACAGACAACACAAATAACGATGATGTTTAATGGTTGAGACTCGGCGCGTGCGAAACGACGTTGTCACATTATCTAACCCCGAAGAATCATGGAACGCCGACAGCGTTTCCTTTTGTACCCGTACGTTTCGCGAGGCGAGCTCTCCTCGATGTATAAGGGAGGAAAAAAAAGAGAGGAATAATTCACGTATTCGCAACGTGAAATCTCGAGGCGCACACCGCGAGATGATCGTCTCGCGGAGGGTAATGAACCTCGCGCTGGTTTGTGTATCGGATCGCGAGGAGAAAAAACCGGACGAAGTCCGGTGGACACCGTCGACGTGAAAAGCGTCGGTTGAAACGTTCGTTGTACTCACCGCAATGCAGTGACCTCCGCGGCAGTTTCCCTCGTAGGTCGTCGCGAGAGTCGTGTAACGGGGGTTGAACGAGGGCTGGTGTTCGTGACAGGAACCACCACCGCATAACCAACAGTCACGTTTCGTATCGGCACATCGGTCCGCGGAACGGTCACTTTCTCCAGGCAGGCACACACGGCTCGATCTCCAGCACACAGCGGGCCGCGTTTTCTTTCTCGGGGGAACGCGGGGCGCCGCCAAGAAAACGCGGAATTAGAGACAATTTTTCGGGCTCGCCAGGGCCGTCGAATCGATGTGTGATGTTACACTTCCCAGCTGTCTTTTTTGATTCTGCGGATGTGCCCGCCGGCAACGCCATCTCGCGCGCGCCCCTTGAACCGCGGCGTCGAGCCGAACACCCGGGAACATTCAAACGGTCGATTAAAGGGCACGAGAAACGCCGCGAAACTTTCGAGCCGGCGAACGTGCACGGTCGCCGAAACGGGGAGGGAACTAGATAGCGTTACCGATCGTTTTTCAAGTATTTTTATTTGTAATAATTTGTCCGTATGCTTTTTTTTTGTTCTTCCTTTGGTTTTGGATAATTGAGATATATTTGAATGGAAAATGATTGGTGTTTGAATATATGAAACGATTCAGAGGAGAGAGAAAGAGTAACGTTTACGCTTCGTGATATAATTTATTTGCATATATAGTCTCGTTTGCCACAGGCTTATACAAGAACATAATTTATACGGTAATTTGAAATTCTTTAATCGTAATGTTAGTACTTAAACGTTAAGACGCGAAACTTCGACGAGTTTGTATTAGTAACGAATAATTGCATCGCATGGCCGCGTTCTTTTAAAAATGCATTCCTCCTCGTAATCAATATATTACAAGCTTCGCGTGTGTCTGTGTACCTTTTGTATTTACATAGAGATTAAGTGGAAGTAAACCGTAGCAGAATTAAGTCGCGCATACGTGTTTGTAAGTAGATAAATCCGTTGTATGTGTACATACATGATTAAACAATCTTACAAGGAAGTTAAGTCGCTTTCTTTTCTGTTCTTTTCTTTTTTTTTGTTTCTTCTTCTTCTTCTTTTAACTTACAACGAATCTTGTAAGATGTTCCAACGAGAGTAATAAATACAACCACCGGAAAGTTGTTATCTGATCCAACAAAGTATCTGTATGCTAATAAACAAGATTAAAACATAGGGTTGATTATCTAGATCGCCAGCTAAATAAGGTGACTACTATTCCCGACTAAAGTTTTGGTTTAATATCAGAAGAGAATGATCTTCCGATATTATTCGTTCGTAGATACATGATTGAAATACGCACACCACGGTAAAGCGCGAAATACTCACAAAATTCAAAGCAACCAGAATTTAAGGCCACCAAATTTCTGTCGTAATAATAATATTTATTATCTAACAGGACGTATCTGTTTACAATAAAATAAGCTGTACAAACAGGATGGAATGTTTCGTTAGCTTCAAGTGCTAAACACCTTCTAGAATGTTTGTTACATTCTTGGAATAGCTATTATCGTACAAAGTAGGCATTTACAAGGTCACGTTAATCGCGGCATTTCTAATCAATTAACTTCATGCGTCGAATATTATTTCCGATAACACAATCGAATATCTTCCCTTTTTTCTTTTCCACATATTGTCAAAATGTACAAATAGATGAATTTCATCGTTCAAGCAATTTTATATTTATCTTTTTATCTTACTTAATACTATATACAATGACCTGAACAAAGTGTGACTGTCATCAGACGTCCTTAGAAGAATGTACAAGAAGAACACTGTCCTATGTTCGAGTCAAATAAATCGTGTAACAGATACGTCTGTCTCGATAAAGAATCTCTACGTTCCCTATTAAGTTCGAGTATATTCTCTAAAATTAAACAACGTCTCTCCATTTTAAATAGATGAATCGATCGAAAATACAACAAAATATACATAACATACTGACTATAATTCTTCTTGTCATACCTTCTAATACCATGATTAATCTTTTTTAGAATCATCTTCCTTCTGATTTTTGTCAGCACATTTCTTCTTTATCGGTACAATGTATTTTCTCGACTCTATTACTATAATAGAAGATCTAAAGGATAATTTCTTGATTAAGTATTCAAATATTGTTTTATGCAAAAGAAAGTAAAATTTTGTTTTTTGTTTTTTTATAAGTTACAGAAGGAAATACTGAGATCTTCTACTGTACATTATTACAAAACATTGAGAATTCGTTGAACTCAAATATTATATGGGAGTTCCCTAAAATCAATGGTTTGTATTTTAAACAATGAAAATGTACAGTTGAAGATTGAAAATGTTAATACGTTAAAATTTGTTAAAATTACATAACATCATTGTATATGAGATACATTTCTAAGTTTTGTTTTTAGACTTTCCTGTCCTTATTATCATTTTTTTTATTTATTCCGTGATATAGCGGGAGTATAGTTAATTAAACCTCATGTCTTATATACCACGCAAGTACCACATAACTTAACTTATATAACTTTTTAAGTGCTTGATAATTTTAAATAATATTCCATCTTTTAAGTTTGTGAACTTATACCGTTCGTAGATTCCTTCGGTAACATTTTCCGCTCTATCAACAAATTAGAATAAGCAATGAATCGATTATTAGCTTAAAGCTATTTACAATTAATAATAGAATATTATTCTTTTATTATGATAACCGAAATTTTTCCCAAAAAATCTCTTGAAAGTGTAGTAGTCAAAATATGTGATTACATTTAAAAAGTGAACAAGTTAATAAATTGTAATTCGTCAATTGCTCAGACAGCATTCGACGTTACTTCCAAACTTCTTTGTTAAATATACCTTAGAATTTTAAAAGTGCATTATGCGTAAGATTCTTTTGAATTACTGGTAACAGTTATGTAATATTTAAACACATTTTTCATTGATTTGTCTTAATGATGCAACTAGCAGTCAAGAGACACCTAAGTCTTCAGAGTGCAGAAAAATGTTAATCCTGTTAAATAGTTAATTGTATTAGATAGTATACATAGTTGTGTTTATATCATATCTATATACATATATCTATACATATACATATATGTATATATATATGTGTATTTTTAGTGTATTTAAGTGCTGTGGGTATGTATGTATGCATGTGTGTGTGTGTGTGCGTGTGTGTGCGTGTGTGTGTGTTTTTCTGTGTGTATTATATTACAGATATCATCATGAAAAGGGGTATCTCGTGCTAATCCACTCCAGCAAAACCTTGGGAACCTTCAATTGCTTTTATTAATTTTTCTCTGAGCTGTTGGTAACTTTCATAAGGAGGAAGGTCAATGCGATTAAAACTGGAAAGGGAATTAAAAAAAATCAAATTTAATTCCACCTCTTCCTTGTTTTTGTGATCAAAATTTGTCAGAAATAAAGGCAAGACAAATTTTGTAACATTTGACTATCTAACCTAAAACAAAATACGTAATTTTAAACTTTTGTACTCACCAAGTATGAGCTCTCGGGTAATTTTCCGGTGTTCCCCATTTCTCGATTGTAAATAATTGTGGTCCGTTGCTGCCGTAAATCTCCTTAAAACCGTTCATTGGTACTCGTGACGTGCCAGTAACAAACTGTAAAAGTCTAGAGCGCATTTCGTTGCTAAATGAAAGCACTACTCGCCAAAACCACTGAACAACTATATGATTGGCGTGGTAATCTCCTTTGTACAATGTATTCTGTTTCCAGTCTTTCACATCAATGTGTTGAATACCGCACATTAGCAATTCCAGTTCGTGTTCATCAAATATTTTCACCAATGTAGGTGGAATAAGAGCATTAAATCCTTCCAAAAATGCATTCATTTGTTCCTGAACCCTCGACACAAACCGCCACTGTATAACCAAACTTATATACTCATCTTTATTCTCATCAGTTAATGGTATATTGGCACCATCTGGTTTAAGTTCCCTTTGAGAAGTATGTCCAAAACTTTCTTCATCCACACAGAATGTAAGCTCTAATTCACTGGGATCATTTTCTTTAATCCATAATAAAGAATTATAATACTCGGAATCAACACTTTCCATGTCTTTTAAGTCAATAGTTTTACCCAACATCATCTTATAAAATGGTCGAATGAAAAAGGCTATAACCAAATAATAATTTCATTTAGATTGCATAGTGTGTACAATATTCTCGCACACTTTAATGCAATAAGATACTTACCATCTAACAGTTTACCGTGGTAAACAGCCATACCCGCTATACGGCCGATAAATTTAAAATAATTTAGATGCCCCTCGTTGCACACGCCCGAAAATGGATTAATTTGTAACGTATAATTATCCCTACAAATATTTTATTTGCAATTAACACTAATCGGTAATGAACCTTTGAATAATCTTGCATGTAGTATACTCACGTAGCTGAATATTCAAACAAGCCATAATAAGGATTGAACATTTCTTTAGACAATAAGAAAAACCATTCTCGAGCAAGACCTCCATAATCTAAACCAACTTCTCCTTCAAATTCAATCCATAGTTTAGTCTTTAATATTTCAACTCTATTAACGAAACTAATTCTACGATAAGAATCTTCCAAGATATTGTTTCGGCAAACTTTTATTTCAAATTTACTAGGAACATTATTCTGAAAGAATAACATAGTAGTTATAACGCATGAAAACTATACTCAGACCCAGTGAAATTAAGTTTTTCATTGTGAAGTACTCACAGGCTTTATAAGTTGAGACTTGAGATACTGATACTTTCGCTTATAGTCCCTCGAATATGGAACAGCCTTAAAAACAATAAAATGTACCTTGTTAAAACGTTTCATTAGAGCTTGATTATTAAAATTATAAATTGTTTACATACGGGACCAGCAATTTGTGGATTCGACATGCGCGGATCTTCCCATTGAGTTGTTCTTGTATCTAAAAGGAAACAAAACATCGTATTTTCGAAGTGAAATTTCTTGAAACTTATATAGTTTTTAATAAAATATAAACATACTGTGATCAATGAAAAATATTCTGCCATCTGTGTGTACTCTTTCTTCCCAACCTTCAGGCAAAGGTCCAAGTTGATCCAAATCACTTCTTGGTGTTGTAGAAGGAGCAATATGATTAGGTATTGAACTTGGACGACCGGTTCGGGGATCGATCCATGTAGTTGTTCTTGCACAATGATCAATAAAGAAGACTCTACCATTGGGAGCTGTTTGCATACCCCACCCTGGTGGTAATCCCTCATTACTGAATGCAGGAAGGACGGGTTTCGGACTTTCAATCTATGTATCAAAATAAACAACATTTGGATATAAATTTATATGTCAATAGATTTTTAATAAATGCCATACACACCTGTTCAGATGAGCGCCTAGAACCAGCTGGACTATCTACGTTATCGTCACTCTGTAAACGTAATATTAAAATACTTTTTTATAAAAGAATAAATTCGCTTCAAAATAAAAATACATTTACACCACAAACATACTGATTTAATGTTGCCAAGCTAATGTGCAATATGATAAATTACATTTTACACGTTTTAAATTTGTTAATATGATAAAGACATTCTTTACAATGAAAGAAGAATTAAACAAAATCGTACCACATTAAATTCGGGAATGAAAGGATATAGTTCTGAATAAACATGCATAACAGTTACATCTTAATTCAAAAAATAATACAAAATAAATATGTAGTACGTACAAAGATGTATCTGTTTCCATACACAAGTATATGATGAAATTTCAGAATTAATATTCTCTAGAATATACTAATTTACAAAATAAATAGCAGTGCACTGTTGTGGTAAATGCGTTTTCTTAGAATATTTTCAATTTATATAATATGTACAAGAAAATATGAACAGAAGCATTGAATAAAACTGAAACTCAGCATGTCTACATGTATGGGTACCTGGTCTTCATATCCACTATGGTAGCCACGTTGATCAACAGAACGTCCAGAGTCTGACGAAGTATTCCCATTACCCCCTCCCCTATGATTCTCATTCTCATAATCTCTTGCTTCCGAATCTTCATCTTCTTCGCGGAGAACTTCACCATCCTTACACACACATGCACAAAATTGCTACATACTGCATGCCAATTACTTTTTTTGTTAGAGACTTATCATGTTGTTAAGTTAATTATATTTATTATATTTACTGCTAAATGAACGATATTGATTAGTAGATCATTATTAAATATCTAGTTATAGTATCACAAGCTTTTATTATAGATGCATACCAAAAAGTCATTGAAGAATATGTTATGGATTTGCGGATATGAAGCAGACTTACAGAAATAGATGCAGTTAATGATATGTTTCTGTTAATGTATGTAATTACTATTCTGTTTGCAATGCTTTATGATGTTAAATATGAGAAGCACCCTGTAATTTACCCTTATTCTACTTATGCGACGTAATTTACTATCTATAATTATATTCAAATTTATATTACATTTGGATATGAAATTGGATTTCTAAAGACTTAAGTAGGCCCTATATTTTGTGCGTGTGTGTGTCTATCTGTTTACACACATATAACTTACATGATTAAAGACATCACAATAAAATGTCATAACAATATTTCCACATAATATGGAGATTTGAAAGCAAAGAGTACTAATTCTTTGATATTGGTATCTATGCGGAGGACTGAATAATCGGTAACAATAAAATTGAGTAAAATATACTACATAAAATAACATGTAGAACGTATGTGTAAACAGAATCAATATTATACGAAATTAAGGTAAAAAAACATATAACACACACTACATTTTTATACATATTATCAAACTTCCATTCGATAATATATGCTTCTAAAAATCGATGTACAAAATTTTCCTTTAGTTTCTTCTACTATAGAATTTCTGTTAGGGCCTTAGAATGGTATTCATAGATACGATTAAAAGTCGTTAACATTACCTGATTAATTGAACTTCTGTGTCTGTTTTCATTATCTGCGCTAATATGAAAACGTCGTTGAAATTCAGTGACTGCGGTACTAAAGTTTCGTTCAACTGCCATATTTCCAGTGGGTGAAGCATTTCTGTAACGGTATTTTGTTGTTTTTAAAAATATACCTGTTATTAACTATATCTGAACACACATCTATAACATACGATTCTGATGGTCGTTCCCACTGTGTAAATCTTGCTATGTGATTAACATAATATGTTCGTCCATTTGCATCTTGTCTTTCCTCCCATCCTTGTGGTAAAGGTGGTAAAGGTGAATCAAAGACAACCTAAATAATATTTTATATACAATAATATTCATATAAATAAATATTCACAATTTTTTAAATAATTAATGTAGAAGCATAATGTACACGTAACTGTCTGCATAGGATGGTTAGTATTTACTGGCTGTACCATTTCCCACCCCCCTGAGTCAGATGCAGCATCCCCATTGTCATTTTCTGTTGTCGTTGTATCCGAAATATATGCATGGTATAGATCCAAAGTGCCTTTTACTCTCGAACGCTGACTGGAATGATTTCTAGCCATATCCTCGTAAATTATTCATTTTGCATTCGCAAATGAAAGATACGAAATAAATATTTTAATGAACCAAACATTAAAGTTGGTGAGACGCAACCAATGAAACTGATTGAAGAGTTGGAAAATGTCCATTTAAAATAACGCAGAACAATGTGCAGAAAATAAAAAATAATAATGTATCAAACAAATGGTGCATGCAATGTAAGGTTGGTTCATTATACTTATAGTTCATACGCAAAGTATATTAAAAAAGAAGCTAAACAAATTAAACTTGCAAAAATATTTTAAAATATGCAGCTTCAAGCAAACATTAAAGAAGTACTTACCTTCGAGGTCGAAGTAAATAACGTCTAGTAGGAATTGTTTGACCCACTTGCTCTTTAGGTAAATTATTTAATAGTAGTTCTACTCTCCCAAGAAAATCATCCCTTGTCAATCTGTTCTCGTCAAAAACTTGTAGCACCAACTTGTGATCAATAGGTTTCACCTGAACAATGATAATAACTTCTTTGTAATCTGCTATGTAATCAAATTAAAACTAAGGCATATTTATGATAAACTTACTCTAAATATAAATTCCTCTTCCCAAACAGGATTCAAAGTCTTCTTTTTAGTTTTTGTAAGTGCAGAATCCACTGTATGATTGCCATTTATGGTATTCAAGTCAACACGTACATAAGGATCGCTTGCACCAAAGATATCCTTTTTCGCTAACTGGTGCCCAGCGATCACTTTTAATCTCAGCTTTTTGGTGGCCTCATCTCCCTACAATTACAATTACAAAAATTCAAAAAATAAATGATTATAAAAGATTAGGTACAGATTTACTTATTATAATCTAATATATGTTGGTATCATCACTGCAATTACATATAATTATGATATATGCAAATGTCTTAAACAAGAAATAAAACAAACATTACAAATTACTAATTAAATGATATTACTTTATTTATCTTAGAATTAGCGTAGAATTATTTTATATTAAGTTTTTTGGAATTAGTACCATTAAATCATTGGGCATTGTATTATTTTTACCCATTTCCTTTAAAGAGAATACATAAGTACATGTGCAAAGTATTCAAAAAACAGTCTTCAGCTTTGTATGTATATGTATATCAATATAAAGGAAGTTATTGACAAAAGTGATTCGCGTTTCAGAGTAAATAATTGTAAAACAGGTAACAATATAATTGATTTTCAGTTATGCAGAATGTTTCTCCGTAAACGGCACTGCAGTATTAATCGTAAAATCAACAAATTTTTCGAAGGAACACCCTTCCTGAAGTCTATCAATCAAAAATCCAACCTGTACTTGTCAAACTGTCAAAATAGTTACGTACAGACTCCCCGTCAACACCGGATGGCGGATTACATCCGTAAACATGTTCCTCTGCCATTAACGTTATGTATGATCGATTTATTTCGAATCGTCGACTTCTGCTTCCTACAATTTAACGAGGTTCACAGATTCTTATGTGCCATCAAGAAATCTATTTTGTCTTAACCCCTCTCCGTCACTATTGCACGAACGAAACGGATATGACATACTCGCGCTTAAAGATGGCCGGCTTCCTTTCGAATATTCAAATATCACCAAAATGTTGCCTTGTTTTCACTTCCACGCAAATTAATTCACCTTGATTCGTAGAAGGGTGATGCGCATTTTATAATATATATGTTTTTTTATTTTTTAAATAAAGAAGGAAACGAAACTCTTTAGAGGAGAATATGGATAATATGATTCTAAATATCGGTGAGTGAAACCCGTTGTTCCTAATGCGCCTGCGAACATCTTTCCGAATTTTCCTAAATAGTTGTCTTTCGTCATTGCACGCAATAAGTTGAAGAGCCTCGTTGAAATTATGAGAACTGAATTTTTAACGTGAAAATAAACGTTTTCCAACGTTATCGTAACACAGAAATCATTTAAACGTGTAGAATGTGATTCACATGTTTTGGAGTACACCCATTGAGAGCTACTTGATTGTTCAAGTATTATCTTGGGATTGTAATGAATTTTATGGTGACAATAATAAAAGGATTAAAATAATCTATGTAATAAGCTTAAATAATTCTCTTATTTGAGTTAATAATTAAACACAATGATGAAAGTAAAGAATTTCTAAAGTAATATCTTAAGAGAAACAGTTTTAATATGTAGAGCGCAATACATATTTACCACAGGTTCTGATAGTGATAGTCGTCCAGGTCTTGCATTATCCTGTAATACTAGAGATGTTGAATGATTTCCAGTCCATGAATAAGACCGATGTCTTTGAGGAGATGATTCTACACCAGCATATATCGGGTAAGTTAAAGTTCCTGGCATCTTGCTTTAATTTTATAGTATTTAATACACTGATATAAATAAAATTAAATATATTTGTTATATGTTCTGAATAAAATATTTCTCGTTGCAGATGTTTCTTTGGTAAGTATTTAGATGTTAAAACACTCCACTTACATTTATAATCAACACATAAAATTTACAAATAACTGCTATTCTTTGTTAGATAAGAATTATATTAGAAATCTAATTACCACACTTCTAATCTAATTCTATAGAATCAAATGTATTAATTAATTAAAACACAGTTGCACAAGCTTAGAGTAATTATTAATTCACCACATATTTTAATGCATATTAATAATAAACAGAAGCTTTAGATAAAATTCTTGTGAAAAAATAAAGAAGAACATAAAAATGTAATATTTATGTATCTATTAATAATTTATTCTTAATAATGAACTGTATTTGCACGTAACTCATAATTGATCATTAATATATTTTACTTATGTTAAAGTTTTTAATAAAAGTAGCATAACAATCTGCGACCGTCCATAATTGCAAACTCACTACTTTCCTTGGTGAACATTAAGTATGGAATTCATTTGAGATAAGAAGAGTGCTTTAAATCATTGATGTGATAACAAGAAATATGCTCTACCACAAAATTAACTAACACATTGAAAGTGTGACAAATATACAATCAGGTAATTTTTCTCTGAACAATTGTTCTCAGATCAAACAAAAGGTTTCCAAAGTCATAAAACTTATAATTCTATATTTATAAGTACAACTGAATATCACGTACATTTTCATACACTATTAATATTACGAATATTTTCTCTTATCTGATATCATAATAGAACTGTATGTATATATAGTATGTATTATATCTCAAAGTTTACTTTTGATAATTCCAATTAATACAGGTCTCGCATTCTCGCTATAGATACCGTGACGATCTTAATATTATTGAAACTTGTAACTGCGTCAGAAGGATTGGATATTGTTACAACAATGAATATAATTTACACAGAAACATTCGTTTAACATACGAATTCGTGACACGTCAGACATATCCATTTAAGACAGTACATAATAGATGTTTCAAATCACTCAAACAAAAATATATTTGTAAATATGTATATATCATTCCGGTTTAACATAGAATTAAGGTGAAAATATTGATAGTAAATTTTATAGTACATACATATATGAAATGTAATGCTTGTAATTGTTTATGTATCTGATATAGGTTAAGAAGTAACAGACGAATGTAATTATATCCGTATCGGATTTGAATTAATATATATATATATATATATACATATTATAAAAATGTTAAGAAGGCGGAAAGTTAATATTAAAACTGTTAAAGAACTGGATGCATTTCCAAAAGTTCTTGAACCATATGTTGATAAGACTGCAGTTGGAGGAACTTGTAAGTTTCCTACTGTTTAATTGAGTATTTTATGTGCATATAAGCAACTATACATGTTTATATATTTAACTTGCAGTTTCCATATTTACAATCTGCACTATTGCATATTTAATAATAGCAGAAACAAATTATTATCTAAACAGCAGATTGCAATTCAAATTTGAGCCCGATACAGACATTGATGCAAAGTTAAAAATAAATATTGATATAACAGTGGCAATGCCATGTGGCCGCATTGGTGCAGATGTTTTGGATTCTACAAATCAAAATATGATAGGTCATCAAACATTAGTAGAAGAAGATACTTGGTGGGAATTGACATCGGAACAAAGATCTCACTTTGAAGCTTTAAAACACATGAATTCATATTTGAGAGAGGAATACCATGCCATTCATGAACTATTGTGGAAATCCAATCAAGTCACATTATATAGTGAAATGCCAAAGAGGACTCATGAACCTAGTTATGCACCAAATGCATGTCGCATTCATGGCAGTTTAAATGTTAACAAAGTTGCTGGAAATTTTCACATTACAGCTGGAAAGTCATTGTCTATTCCCAAAGGGCATATACACATTTCAGCATTTATGACAGATAAACATTATAATTTTACTCACAGAATAAATAAATTTTCATTTGGAGGACCTAGTCCAGGTATTGTTCACCCATTAGAGGGAGATGAAAAAATTGCTGATAATAGTAAGTTGTTACAACTGATAAAATATAAATTTTATAATAGTTATATTTATTGAGAATGAAATTTCCTTTCAGATATGATTTTATATCAGTATTTTGTGGAAGTAGTTCCCACTGACATACAAACTTTATTGAGTACCTCTAAAACGTATCAGTATAGCGTAAAGGATCATGAAAGACCAATTGATCATCAGAAAGGATCTCATGGAATTCCAGGAATCTTTTTTAAATATGATATGAGTGCACTTAAGATAAAGGTGACTCAACAGCGTGATACAATATGTCAATTTTTAGTGAAATTATGTGCTACAATTGGAGGCATTTTTGTTACAAGTGGTAAATATTCATTCATTCATAATATAATTAATAGTATAAGAAATATATTTAATATAATAAATTTTTATAGGATTGATAAAAAATGTTGTACAGAGCTTTTGGTATGTTATGTATTGTAAGTTTTTATCATCTAAAGATGACAAAAATGATAGAAACTATTCGAATTCCATGTTGGGACAAAATCATCAAGTGCCTGGAACAATAAATTTGCTGCATGTTTCAGCACCCGAATGTGTAGATATAATGCTTAAGCCACAACCAATATAATTTATATCTATCATAATCTAAGCATAATCTACAATTTTTAGGTATAGCAAAAAATGCTATTAAATTCTTGATATTATAAAGATAATAGGCCATGAATAGTACATTTGTAACCATCTTGTACAGACCAATGAAAATAATAATAATTTTATATTTACAAGTTTTCTTGTATTCTTGTAAAACTTCTTGTGTTACAAATATTTTATAATTTTGTATTGCGAATCCTATAATGCATCATAAGCTATTTCAAAAACTTGTTTTATTAATTAAAAATAGTTCTTTATTAAAAAATACAATTTATTTAATTTTATATTACCCATTATTTTCACCGATATAAAAAAATTAAAAGATCGAACTATGTGTACATATTCTGTTCAAGTCATAATGTTTGGCGGTTTAATACGAGCGAGAAGTGCTTTCCCTTCCATAAAATTTTCCCCCAATGATATTTCTTATTTGATAAGAAAACATGAGAAAGTAAAATGTAAAGAAATGTGTACATTACTGAATCATATTAAAAAAGTTTGATCGAAAGATAACGATGACGTAGATAATTTATGTTTGTTAAATCAATGCATTAATGCTCCGCGTTATTTGCAGGAAAGGCATTGGTCGACTGGAAATCTTCGCATGCGCTTGACCGAAGTATTCGACGGAACAAAATTCATTTCAATCTTTTTAAAGCAGCGCGGAAACGAATTTTTTAGGAATGGCAGATATTAAACAAGATCATAAAACCGAGGATGCTGACAATTATGGAATGGGTAATAGTGCCGATCCAAAGAATATGCAGGAATTAACACAATACGTAAGTTGAGCGTTGTCTTGTATTGTTATGACATTTCTGTTGATATTTGTTACAGAACGTTTATATTTTATTTCGTGTTATTTTTAGGTGCAAACATTGTTACAAAACATGCAAGATAAATTTCAAACAATGTCAGATCAGATTCTTGGAAGACATATCCTTTTTATTTGAAGTAACTACGTTTCCTTAAATAACCTCAAAGGTACAGGTAAATGTCTATAACTTTAAATACCACTGCAGTTAAATGTCAATTATGTTATATTTACGGATGAGCCTATTTAAGGAAATTAGTTTCTATTTATGTAGTGAATTGACTGTGATAATATAATTATATCCTTAATGAAAAAACAATAGATGAAATGGGAAATAGAATAGATGATCTTGAAAAAAATATTGCAGATTTAATGACACAGGCTGGTGTAGAAGGCGGTGATAAATAATTACATTTATTGAAAAAGTGTCTCTGATATTTACAGAGAGGCATGTAATCGTCAAGATCAATAAATATGATTGCACGGAAACAATATTTGTATGACATTGAAATGAACTTTTTGGTTACAAAGAAATAAATTAACAGTTTTTACAATGATATGACTAATATAATTCGTTTTTTAATCTTTTTAGTTTTTTATACATAATTGCTTTGAAATATACTTTATTATTAAATAGTAAAATATGCATATCATTCATGATTAATGGTCATAGGAATTGTTAAAGACTTCTGGTATGCAGGAACAGGTGGTATTGTTTTAAATGTAAACCATGTTAAAGTTTTGCGACCAGAGTCTTCATGAAATTTCATCTAAAATTACATAAAATGTACAACAGGAAGTAAATTATTGATAATTACGTAGATTTGTGCCTGGTTCTCACAGGTTTTTCTTTAATGGATTCAGATTCTGTTTCTTCTGAACTATCACCATATTCTTCAATTTGTACTGATTCTGAAGAATTTGTTTTTAAACTGGATTTTGCAGAATCCTGTGAATTAATGTACATTCGTTTAGACATTGGGTATTAATCTGCAATGATAATTAACTTACTATAGAATCGGTAGTATGACTAACTAATTTTTGTGGAACCATTGGAGATGATGTAAAACGACTGGCTAAATTGGTGAGAGAATATGCTTGTCTGAACGAAGTTCGTCCAACGGTAGATAATCTGGCAATAGAATCTGGTACCCGCATCACATCGCGAAATTCCTAATTAAATAAATAATTACCTTTAATACTGTGAACACGCAATTACTTTTGAAGTATACTATGAACTTAAACAATTAAAATGATTGTAATCGGTCGCACAGGAATTTACCCCGTTCATGTTTCCTCTTATCGTTTGAAAGTCCTGTGAGAATATTAAAATGATCCTAAAGTTATGTTATTATTTATCACCACAGAATATGACACTGTATATTTAAATAAAACGGTATTTTATAAGTAATGCGCATTTTACCTCTAAATCTTTAGCCTCATCAATTTCAGCGATATCTTGATAAGCCTTCGTCAACAGTTCGAGGGATTTCGCGTGAAAACTGATCTCAATAATAATGAAATCTAAAAGCACAGTTTTCAGATCGCGCAGCTTTCGTTTTTCAAACGAATCGATTTGTTCTTCTAAACCTTTTACAACCCTTGAAACTTCAACAGAAGCTTTCATCAGCTCCGACTCGGCTTGCGACTGTGTTACTTATATAAGGAGTCATGATAGTCGATGCAATTATTTCAATAATATTTTACTACGATTTCTTATCAAGGATACGATCATTTGTCTGTTTCTAGGATTTCGTTCTCTCAGTCTGTCTAAATGCCTTTTCCTCGTTAACTCCTTATCACGAGCTGTAAAAGTATTTTTAACATCGTCGCGAGCATTTTTGCAAATCGACGCGTATTGAGAAAGGGGAGCAATTATTTTCGCATCGAATCGTTGCACCTCGGCATCCCTAATTATCAGATGTGTTATAACAAATTACATACATCTGATTGTTTTTAATTCATCAAATATCTAACGTGTACCTGTAATCTCCTATTACCGATAAAGTTGCCGAGAAATTCGTTAATCCGGTCGTGAGCGATCGATTTACAGTTTCCGATTGCGCGTAAGTCTGTATCGTTTTCGCAACTTCGTCTCCTTTGTCGCGTAATCTACAAATAATGCAATGAAATCTAACGAATCGTCCGTGTCCTATGACTTTCTACAGAAATAAGCGAAATAATCGATGTAAGACATATATATATTAACGATTATTATTTACAAACCTCGCAGCTTTTCTAGTGTACGCTGCAAACGATGCGCACAGTTCAGCGAAATGTTTTTCCACATTGGATATACGATCCTGTACGAATTTCGCTTCGTGTTCCCTGAGAAATGAAAATAACGATTGTAGTACGTTGAATATCAATTCGAATCTCGCAAAATATTTAAAAGATTACCAAACGTTGCCTTGCGATCTAGAGCGCAACATTTTGCCTTTTAATGTTTCGCTACTTCCGTTGCATTATTTAGAAAGACTATTGTACGAAGCTACCACGCTTTTCACAATTCGTTATCCTGAACTCCCTGTTGGTAGTTTACTGCTGGCAGGTGGTGTATTGTGACCGCAGGTGAGGTCGATTTTAATCCATACCCTGTTCACTCTAACTACCTTTCACCTGCACGCCTTTTTATCCGTTTTAACATAGCTACTGTTAAAGCTACTGTGCTTTCTTAATATTTCGCAATAAGATATGTTAACTCTTATATTGAGTGATCTTGAACTTTAGACAGTTTATACTTTATTCGTATATTCATATGTTACAATTTTACATGAATGAACGTAGCGCCGAGCATTCAATTGCCCCGTAAGCGACACACAAATTCATCGGAATTTTTTGATTACAGCAAACGAGTGACCTGCACCGCTTCCAACACGTATCGCCGTGAAATCCGACGAATATGACAACTGCTTCGGAACCTTGACATCCGTTGTATGACCTGTCCCACAGTTTCCATGCTCGTTCCACCCCCAACATAAAATTCTTCCATCCTCTGTAATAATATCAAACTTACCATACTTCAAAATTATTTTCCACATTTTAATATTTAGATTCTAGTTATTAATACCAGTTAAAGCAACGTTGTGTTCGGAGCCAACTGAAATTTCTGCGATGTCCGCGAGACCGTCGACTTGCACGATTTTCCAAGAAGAAGATGGACTCTTAGGCGTCGCGGAACCTAATTGTCCGTACGTGTTTCGCCCCCATGAAAAAACTTGACCACCTGAGGTAAACGGAGTAGACACCAGTTAACCAGGTAAACGACCATTGTCCAGAGAATGTCTACCAAATTTTATTACCGCTCAATGCGATTGAGTGCGACCACCCGCTTGCTATTATAACCGACGAATTAAACCGAACATCAGGTAGTCTTGTCGGGAAAGACGTTTTCGAACAGGTATCGGTATCCAATCCCAGCTGACCGTGCTTATTGTCACCGAAGGCATAAAGGTATCCGTCGTTCGTTATCGCCACTGTATGGCGTTGGCCACAAGTAACGTCTTGCACATTTTCTAGCGTCGGAACTGTGAAGAAAACATCGTGAAAACATGTTATAAATGTTTATTCTCCTTAATGAGCAAAAGTTACGATTTCTTGATGACTTATGTGTAAATCACCTTCCGCGAAGGTGTGCATCGCATCGAAAAATTCTTCCTCTCTTGAGTGGCTCAAGCCTAATTGTCCTTTATTGCCGGAGCCTGCCACCAAAACCTTACGATCTTTCGTTACTAGAGCTATGTGCCTTAAGCCTATGGAAACTCGTTTAATTATTCGATCGAGAGCAACTTGTAGGGGCTCGTGTGTCCATTGAACGGTACTCGGATGTTTCCCCAACTGTCCGAAACAATTCGAGCCCCATAAGAATAAGGTGCCTTCTATTGTTAACGCAGCCGAACAATCCCAGCCGCATGCGATATCAATGACAATTTTGCCTTTCAATTTGCCTTCCACTTCCCGGAAAGACAGTGACTCCTCGCCAATCGGAAAACCCGTTTGCCCCTTATTGTTCCAACCGCAAGAATATACGCGACCGTCATTATCTAAAATCAACGTGTGTCCAGCACCACCGGTTATTTTAACTATCTTTCGCGATTCCAACGAACAACCGGACAAATCGACTTCACGAGGTAGAAGGCATTCCTCCGTTCGAACGCCTTGTCCAAGTTGACCATGAGAATTAGCACCCTACAAAACAAATATTATCCTTTTTATATATATTATGTTTGTATTTTGATCATTTCATTTATTCCTATGAAAGTTCGGAATAATATTCGTCTTTCGTTAAACTTATTTCGGTGACGGTCGCCTCAATTATAATATTTTCTTCAATACAATAACTCTTCTAAACAAAATATTAGAAAAATGAAACTGAAACGAGTGATTGAGTTTCGAAATATAATGTCGTAGTTTATAATTTCTACTAACAATATTTATAGAATTAATTTCATTATGTAAAATATAGGATTACGGCCGTTACAAATATGTGACGCTGGTAACGAACGTGTTAATTAGTTATGTTTGATTCGTAAGTTGAAAGACGCATTGGTTTTCTGATTTTAATGGGAAGTACTATTTGAAAAGTTCCCGCTTTACCGTGGGATTGCTATTTGAATTCTACTTTATCGATTGCGATGAGCATCCGTTCACCTGTTCCACGTTCGCGTATGCGTACAATCTAACGGTATTGCATAATTCATGACAGTCTCGTTAGAACTGTCGCGCTCGTATTCACAGAGAAATTAATGTTATGTGCAACGTGTAAAGAAGAATTAATTGATTACATTACCCATGAAATTAAGCAGTAGTTCATTGTTGCTCGTTCTTTCGCGTGGTCAAGAATACATTCGATTAAAATGTAGATACATGCACACTGAAGTAAAGATTCCAAGATGAAATTATAAAGCTGTTATATATTCTTGATTATGCGTTGTAGATGGCGACAAAACATGTTTATGTACATATGGCCCTTGCATTCGGTGTACATTTGAATCGCAAAAAGATCAATTATTTCGCTGAAATGCGTGGGATCGTGATTTAAATAGCTCTAATAATTCTTAAGAACTGAATGTAAAGTCGATGAGACGTATTTTCACGACATGGAGGAATCTATAAAGTTTGATATTAAGGAGGTTAAGACTGACCTTTTACGCGCGATAGGCGAATGTTCTCAACGAGGATTATTGCACACCGCAAAATGGTACGTAATATATTAGAGAAAAGAAATCGAAGATTATTTCTATTTTGCGGTGCGAAAGACGGAATGTATGTTTTTCTCGCAGGTTAGCGGAACTGAATTATTCTTTGAAAGACGTTAAACTAAACGCCCACGATATCACCGCCGACTTGTACTTAGGAGATGTAAGTGAAGAGGAGGACACATACATTCTGGCAAAATGTTACTTTGACTCGAAGGAATATGATAGAGCAGCGTATTTCACAGAGAATTGTAAGACACCAAAAGTTAGGTTCCTGCACATATATTCTCGTTATTTGTCAGGGGAAACAAAGAAAATACATGAAACACCGGTGGTGCCTCCAGACCCTGTAAAAAACGATAGTTTGAAATTATTATGTTCTGATTTGAGGAGGGATCATATAGCAAATAAGTTAGATGGGTTTGGCCTATATCTTTTTGGTGTTACATTAAAAAAATTACATCTAGCAAGAGAAGCTATGGATGTGTTGGTTGAAGCAACACATAAGCAACCAATGCATTGGGGATCTTGGCTAGAATTAGCTTCATTAATAACAGACAGGGAGAAACTTGAGAACTTATGTTTACCCAATCATTGGATAAAGCACTTTTTTATGGCTCATATGTATTTAGAACTACAATTAATTGATGAAGGTTTAGCACTATATCGTGAACTACAGTCAGTGGGATTTGAGAAAAATGGTTATGTCCGTGCTCAATCAGCAATTGCAGTTCATTACAGAAGAGGCAAGGTTTTTCTCTTTTTGCTTTAGAAATATTGCTTTAACATTATACCTATAATAAATGAAAGTATTTTCTTTCTAGATGTCGATAATGCTATAGAAACATTTGAAAGAATAATAAAGGAGGATCCTTATTGTTTAGATAATATGGATACATACTCTAATCTACTGTATGTAAGAGAAATGAGAGTTGAGCTTGCAAACTTGGCTCATAGAGCAACAGAGATAGACAAATATAGATTAGAAACATGTTGTATAGTAGGCAAGTCTCTTGATTTATTTAAATAGATATTATTGCTGTGTTACTTTACTATATGTTAGAATTAATATTCTTTAGGAAATTACTACAGTTTAAGAGGGGATCATCAGAAGGCAGTCCTATATTTCCATAGAGCACTGAAAATGAATCCTCAGTACCTCTCTGCTTGGACATTACTTGGTCATGAATTTATGGAGATGAAGAACACCAATGGTGCTATTCATAGCTACCGACAAGCTATTGGTAAATATTACATGTAGATACAGAATAAAATACAAGCATCCATCTGATCATTTTTTTTTCATGTAGAAGTAAATAGGAGAGATTATAGAGCATGGTATGGATTGGGTCAAACGTACGAAATATTAAAAATGTCATTTTATGCGATTTATTATTATAAACAAGCCCAACTTTTGAGACCACATGACAGTAGAATGGTACTAGCTTTAGGAGAAGCGTACGAAAAGCAAGATAAAATACAAGACGCACTCAAATGTTACTATAAAGCATGTAATGTTGGTGACATTGAAGGAATGGCGTTATTAAAGCTGGCTACGTACGTGTAAAGATTAGTTGAAACACTATCTAACGTCAAGAATATATTATAATTTCATTTCTTATAGATTGTATGAAAAATTGGGTGAACACTATAGCGCAGCAGCAGCTTACACCGAGTTCGTAATGGACGAGACGAGAAATGCGGATAGAGCAGACTTAAGTCACGCGTACAAATATTTGACACAGTATCATTTGAAACGTGACCAATTAGATCAAGCCAACCATTACGCTCGAAAATGTTTACAATTCGATGAAACGAAAGAGGAAGCTAGGACATTGCTGAGAACGATAGCTCAAAAGAGGGTAAAAGTGGAAGAAACTTCGATGGTGGTAATTATAGGACACTGTACTAACTAAAAGAGAATATTATTATATCAGATTATAACTTTATCTCTATTTATTAGATAGAAGATATGAACGAAACGGATCCTGTTATAGAACAAGGAGAACGAACGGATGCAACTCCCGGAAATCAATTATCACCGATGAATTTATCATTTATGCCTACACCATGAACTATGGTCGAAAATTCTGTCAGTTGTCGGAGCTTTCTATCTTGTATATATTTCTAATAAATATTTCAAATCGGTGGAGAGAAAGAAGAGAGTAAAAGAACAGCATAGTCATTTAAAAATCCTTTAATATCAATTATTTATTGCACATTTCTTTAGAAACTCGTACGTACACTCAGGCACATATTTCTGTTCACGACATTATTGTCACCGGTAATAGTTACTTGTAATATTATTTGAAATATTTGAAGATTTAACAATATGAGGAAGATCCATGAATTCAGGATAATCGTAATACAGATGTCTCATAGGCGAGGGAGCCCGTGGTACTGTACCTGACGTTGGAACGGTTGGAGTGCAATAATTATTTATCGAGGATGTTAATTTAAATTCTTCCCAGTCAGTAGGTTTATAAGACAACGGCGGATTCTGCGGTAATTCAGGAAAACCTGGCGGGGCGCGGCTGCATATTCGAAAAGGGTTAATCGTGTCGGCTGCGTTTCCATTCCAACGCCCTGTCCTCATATCCGCGTCTGGAGTCGCCGATACCTGTTCGTCGAAACCGAGGTCCGTGGAAGAGGATGACGTGCTGCATGATGAAATTCGTAGACGCGTGTTCCTCGTCAATCCGTCAGTCGAATCCTCGTTGTCTGCCACGTAATTTAAGTCGTGCTCCATTTCCCTGTTCTATGAAAGTGGAACCAACAGAAAGCTTGTTACAACAATTTGTTTAGTAAAAATATAAATCAGAATATTATGACCGCTAAAAGATCATAATAAAAATTTAATTAAAAAAAAAATAGGGCAGAGAAGAGATACCTGATAGAGATTGGGATGCGATCGGTGAGCCGCGCTCTTGCAGTAAAATTGTTTTTCAAGCAATTTCATATCAACCGGGACCATTTCAACGTCATCGTCCGAAAAGGCACTGTCGGTTTGAGTAGCTATCTCCTTGTACTTGACGTCTTTCCGTTTCGACTCCTTATGTTTGACCGGGCTTTTCGAGGATTTCGTTTTCGATTTACTCGAAGGCTCCTGCCTGGAGGAACGTTTCTCTTCGCGCGGTTTCGCATCATTCTTGCGGTCCCTATGCTTCTCGTTCCTGTCGTAATCCTGCGACGCTTTTCTTTTCGTATAAACAATATCGGAAGGCGTTTTCCTTCTCCGTTCTTTGTCAACTTCTTCCGGCTTCTTCGAGTCCAACGCACCGGCAGAACCGTTCCTTTTTCTGTGCGAAAGAAAATTATTCTCCTTCGCTTTGTCGCGCTTCGAAGATGTTTTGCTGTGGGAATACGAGTTCTCTTCCTCGGACGAAGTGCACTGTTTCTGAAAGATTCTTGCGATCTCTTCGTCCACCGACAAGTTGCTATCTTCCTCGCCGTAGAACCACGGTGTACTGTTGAACATATTCTCAACGGAGTAACCGTTCCGCGACGATTGTGTCACAGTGTGAGGTTTCTCATAAATGAGTTCTTCTATCGATACATCCATCGGTTCCTCCAAGGCAGAGAACGTCGTACATTTGTCAATGTTGTCGTGATCCAGCGACATGTTCATGATCATCGTACTGCTCGCGCTACTCCATTGATCGTTGGAAGAATCAGAATCATCTTCGATGCGAACACACGCATCTTTGAACTCTTCATCGTCGCTTTTACGTCTCTTCTTCGAATCCCTTTCATCGAGCTCTTCGTTTTCGGTTTTCGAATGGGAACCAGACTCCGAGTTTCCTTGATGCTCCTTAGAATCTTCCTTAGATCTTCTATCCGTAGTTCCGTCGTCTTTCGCATATTTATCTTCTTTGTCGCTAGTCTTTTTTTCCTTAGTTTCCTTTTCCTTGCTATTTGTCGTCGAATCGGTCGCTTCTTGGTCCTTCTTAGGCGCTGTAAGCTTCCCGGACACCGAATTGATCCCAAACAAGCAGAAACGTAAGAGATGCAGCGGGAACATAATGTATTTGATGCCACTTTCGATGATACCGCCGCTTATCGAGTGCAGGCTGTCGGACGAAGTCATTATCACCGTCTGTTCCTCGGCCCTTGAATCTTTCCTTGACGATTCCCGTTGAAAAGGACTGTAGCGTTTGCTTCCAGACTTCGCTGATCCTCGCTCGCTTGTAACCGTGGCGTCCTGTTGTCTCTGCAGGAAAGAAACGACTTATCTTGATTAGCCTTTTTTTTTATCTACGCGTTGTTCAAACGATGTTGCAACGGAGATTATTACGCGAGAAGTGTCTACCGAGGAACGTATACAAAACTGAAACAACACAGTATGGTTATGCACCCACGTGCTCGATCGCGGAACTAGAAACAACTGACCGTTGACGAGTGCATAACGCAACATATGTCGTAAGCCTGCAACCTGATGAAATACAATTGGCGAATTTCACTCGAATTTTTTTGCAGCAAGAGAACCGAAAGATAATCGCGTCAAAGCCGAGAGCGTTTCTTCGTGAGTCAATGGAATTTATCGTTACGTAAATGTTGTTAAAATTCAGATAATTTAGTACATAATTAGCGAGAATTTATCTAGCGATTGACGTCATCTTATGCCACATACTGCTACCGCGTGCCGTTCCACAGATAATTAGCAGAATTTCCTTCGATTCGTTTAAAGAGCGAGTAGCGCGCGGCCGAGTACAATCACCCGCGTTATTGTGAAACAATCACCGCCTAGCTTCGGATCCCGGCCTATCTTTTCAAGTTCGTCCGGTTGTCCGTACCTTCGTTTTTTTTCCCCGTCTTTTTTTTTCTTTACATGTTTTCTTTGCGCCAGAAGTAAATACTTACGTTATCGGAATCGGAGCTCTGACGTTTGTTTCTCCGGCTTGTGCTTTTATTTTCTTTCGGCATGACTGCTGACACTTCACACTCTCGTTATCGTCGCGACATGAATGGATAGAAAAAAACGATTCAATTTCTCCTAGTTGTCACTCGCTGTGCACGGTCCGCCTGACAAATCGCAAATGAAGCAGAAAATTTTCGATGCGATATTCCTGAGGGACGCTGCGATCGGTATCTTATCCCGTGATTGGCCAGCCGGTGCTCAAGAAGGAGGAACTTAAAATCGATGCTCAAAGGATCTAGGGGTGATTATCCCTCCTGTCGAGTCTTGGCCGTAATGTTTTGTACTTCTTCGCTTTCAGGTCAATTCACTCCCCTCGATACCTTGTCCGTTTATAATTAGACACGTTGAGTGGCCCGAGGTCGATCCGCCTTTTAAAACAACGATTCATTCCAACTAAAATGCAGAATTTTCCCCCGTAACGTTTCCCCGATGGCAAACAATATCGTACGCTTTCCATTATGACGATCGACGTGCAACACTATTTTAACAACATATTTCTTTCGATGAATTATCAAGAGCTTATCGAACGCAGATCGCATTGATAACTCAAGCTCTCGCGCCGCGCCGAAATTTTACAATTAATTTGAAACATTTCTTATCTTCTTCATTTTTATACAAAGATTCCCTCGTGCGCGAATGCACCACAGAATGCAGGGTGACACGAATTACATTGCATATACCAAACAAACTAGTTAATCAACGAAGCTATAGAAAAACAAGGTTCACACACATATTATCAATCTATACGAATAAATATCCCGTGTACATGAAAACGGCAGAAGACGAAAATATTTACCTGTATATTTCTTCGTCGTTCGTCACGCATGATATTTGTAAACGCGTAGGCCGCCGGAAATACGCGAGTAGATTTAAAGGGAAAGATACCTGTCCTCCCCGGTGCTCGACTCTTAAAAGCTTAGGTCCCTCGAAAGTCCGCTTCATTCGAGGATTAGATTATGCCCGTAATAGAGTTGTTCTCTGTCGTACCGGAAGTACGTAGTTCCCCAGAACAATAAAAATACCGTTGAAACGGCGAACGTTTCGAGTTTCGATTTCAGTAATCGGCACCGGCAGACTTGTTTACCTTTCTTCTTACGTCGGAATACATTCCTTCGCCCTTAGCGTTCCATGCGTACAGGTATGTACGTATCCGCTTCATCCGGCCAGGCCTTTAAAACATTCTCGAACGCATAAGGTCGCTTCCTTCGGACATTGTTTTCTATACGCATAAGACAGATTTTTTTTCCGTGCGGTTCAGCGTACCCGCGTTGGATACGCAAAGAGGTGGAACCTTAACGATTATGGAACACTGTTGCGGGATACGGCCTCACGCAAGCAACCAAGCACGCGAGAATGCGCGCACGCGGGACCTAACGGTCCTACACATCTGTATATTCGCGGATATACGCACGCTACTTCGCAGCATGCTCAATATTTTAATATGCCAACGTATCGATACGTCGCTACTAATTCTTTAATTTTTTCTATTATCGTAGGAATCCTGCTCGACAATAAACATTTCTAAACGCTTTAATGACTATCGTCTCTGTGCCTGTGTGGAGCTCTCGGATTATCCGTATGCAGTTAATATGCTACGGAACAATGTGCATTTATAGCTGGCAGGTGTCCGAAAACTTTAAACGGATATTCGAGTAATTCATTGGGAAAGTTTCTGAATAACGCTGAAACGTTTAATCGTTCGGATACGAACATTGAGTATTTTTATGTCGGAGTCGTTTGGTACAAGTACGAAGGAAAATAAAGTAATTAGAGTTTTTCACAAAAATGCTGATTCTATGTAAAGGGAAGAATTTCTTTGGATTTCACGCATATTATTTGATCGTTTTCGGTTCGATTGCTTCAGTGGCGAGGAAATAATACAGGATATAGTATACAGTACGTCGATAAGCGTTTCTAAGGCTCGCGCGCAATTCAACGAGCGGAGCATGGCGGCCATATTGACTATGTATACCCAACCCAGCACGAAGGATGTTTGTGCGTGCCTGGCACGATCGCTGTTACATCGCGGTCGCTGTCATCGTTGTCGTCGTCGTCGTTGACGTTGTTGTCCCTGTTGTTGTCTACGTTGTATCCTAATCGTTGTCGACGCGGTATAGTGACCAGGACAGTTGATTCGTAACACGGTGAACGGATTTGAATAAAATCGACGGTTTCTGTTCGCGAGATGTCAAGTCAAATATGCCTGAAATGGAACAGTTTTTTGAACAACATCGCGACGAGCTTCGAGAGCTTGTGGGAAGAGGAAGGCCTCGTTGATGTGACACTGGCCAGTGACGGACAGTGTCTCACTGCTCACAAAGTGATCCTCTCCGCTAGTAGTCCGTTCTTCAAGAAAGTTTTTCAGGTTTGTCGTTTCTACTTTCTGGCGCACGTTCAGGAGCGCGTTGACGTTTTGACAGCTGCTCGAATCACCGTAATTCTTTGTCACTGTGTAAAGAATGGGACTCGAGATTACGTTATGTTTGTTGTTGGGGGATCTGGGAATTATTTAGAATTATGATTTCGTCCAAGACACTTTATGGACTGTTTGTATTTTTCAATCCCAATCGGTGCAGTGAGGGTCAATACATTTAAAGCCTTACGCCTTCTCTTGATTGCAGACTAATCCCTGTCAGCATCCGGTTATAATACTACAAGATGTACACTTCAGTGAATTGGAAGCCTTACTTATATTTATATACAAAGGAGAAGTGAACATCGAACAAAAGAACTTGCCAGCTCTGCTGAAAGCGGCCGAGACCCTACAGATTCGTGGACTTTCCGGCGGAGACATATTTGCTAAGGAGTCGTATAAGAGGTTAGCGGAATTAGAGCAAGCTGTTGAAGAGGAAGCAACTACTGCCAAGGAAGACACACCAAAAAAGAAACAGAAACTTAAGCATCAGAATAATTCTATTCTTGAAACCGTGCTGACACCTAAAGTAACCCAGTTGGAAGGTACGGACGAGTCGACTACCAGTGATCAAAGCGGGAAAGATGGGGATTACCCGTTGCAAAAGAATCTACAGAATCCGGTTTATCATCGTTTAGAAATGAAGGTACCTTAGCTTGACACGCGAGGGCATTATAATACAAAGTTGAATATAAGATATGCAGCTTCAGTCGGTTATATTTCAGATCGAGCCATTGGAAACAACAGCGGATGAGGTTCAGAAGCAATCTGCGGTAGACAAAGATCCTGTGGAAAGATTGGACACTGGTCAGATCGATGGAAATCAAGGTGAGTACCTGATAAATTAAAAGAACATCTGTAGAAGCAATTATAAGACATGATTCAGCACTGGTATTTAATTTGCGGAACGCATTACAATTTCGTTTCCTGCAATTTGTGTACATTTTATGTTCCACACGTTTCTGTGTATTCTACCGTATTCCGCCTATGCGCTAACGTTCTGACATCCGAACATTTTCATGGATTTTAATGAATCAGAGGTGTACGATTAGTTCATGTGCCTTAATCGATTGGAAAGCATCATATAAGATTCGTCGAGCACGTACGGAAAACATGCATCAAGATCCTCGACACAGATGTATGCGCGTTTGAAATCAGCTGTGAAATTACGCGGGAGTATCCCCTCCGATTCGAATCTAAAGTCACGGAGCACCGAGTACTCTCGATTGTTGCGTGTCGTTTTGTTTTTTGGCCGCTTGCCGAACCGTTGAGCCAGCTTTGATCGTTACTTTTGCTTTATTAGATTGGTGTCGCACGTATTTCTTTCGTTTCGTTTTCGTTGTTGCGTCAAGCGAATCGCCAGAGAGAAAAGGGTGAGCCGCGTGCGAGATAGCGAGCCGTGATACGGTGAACACTAGATCGAAGGGACTAGAGGGCAAAGGCGAAGGCAGCGTTAGCTAATCGGAGCTAGACGAGCACCTAGGCCAGAGAGAAACGTAATCAGGGAGGGATCGTTCCGTTTGTCGCTAGTACCAGTCGGGCGTATGGTCTAGACGCGATGCAGCGTCTAGCGACCGTAGTCGTTAAAAGACACGTGCATGCGTGACAAAGGAAGAGACAAATGGAATGATACGCGCGCACGCGGTCGATCGTTCGTTCGTTCGTCCGATCGATGTGAAACGTTTTAACGCGCCGTTAACGAGCCTTGTGGAGTGTTTGCTTGACTGCTCGGTGCGATTCGCTGCAACTCGATGACGCGTCAGGGGGATCCGTGTTTAAAGCAGGCTGTGCTCTGATGTGTGTGGCAGGGTCTGGGAACAGCCCTGCTGAAGACATTTCCGGTTTATCTGGGTTATCCGGCCTAACTGGATTCTCGGACGTGAAGCCGCTGCTTTACGCGTATCAGCAGCTACCTTACGCCGATCTTCTGCCGAGTCCGGAGATAATCTCAACCTGGGCGACCTCTCGACCGATGGATCATTTGGCCTGTGACCTTATGAAGATCCTCTTCACCCCGGAGGAGAGGATTCTCTGTAACGTAAACGGCAAGATGGGCAAACAACAGTTCGATAGTAACAAAATACACTTGATAAGAGAAGTTCTGTTGCACTTTAGCGGTATCGCACCTAACAGCGTCGAATGGGAAGAGACATGGAAGAATTGCGTGACTAAGATCGACACTAGCAATAGGGGCTTGAAAAGGTATTTGTTCCAAAGGCGGTCGGTTTACACTCAATGACTAGTGCGTTTCAGGTCAGGGGTAAAACGGAAACGTTTTCACTGGCTAGAATGAACGCTCTCTTCTCGCCCGATCCGTCTCATTTCCCGATCGTCCCGGGAACGTTTCTCACCGTCTCGGATCGCCTCGAGGTTTCCGTGACCGTTCTTCTCTCGTGGTCTTTCGATTCTCGTTTGGACCGTCATATAGACGGGATGGACAACAGTATACGATATACATATATATATACGAGAGACGCGAACGTTATTTGCGCGACGAGAATCTGTAATAATGCACGCGTAATAGAATCAGCAGAAAGGTAGGCTGAATGTGAACGACTGAGAGAAGAAGATCCACCATAGAAGAGACAGTAGGGAACGGAAAGCATTCCAGGCA